TCTATTGGGTTTTTTGCTATGTGGACCATTGTTTGACTTTTTTTTGGCAAAATACTTTCTTTTTTTATGTTTTTGTAGTTTAAACCAAACTATTTCCAAGATTAACAGTCTAACTTCTTTAAATGACCTCATTTTATGAAACCGTAACTTTCCATAAGGATGTCAAAGTTTTAGTTTTATGATTAGAATAATAACTAACTTTTGTGCCACGACTTACTTGCTGTTTTGAATGAAATTTTGTTATGCATTTATCTAAAACCGCAAGCCCAAATCTCTGATTTACACTACTCATCCCGTACGGCCAAATAACCCATTATTTCATCCAAGTGGCTTCCACTCGCTTTGTCTTTATTATTGCCTTCCCACTGATTTCATCTTTTTCGGTTTGCCGGACTGCCTCAATAATCCCAAGCAACCCCAATCGAATTTGGACGAACAAGTGGGCAGCTTAATTGATGGCCAACTGTGGTGATGGCCCTGGGCGAACTAATCCATTCATTTCATGGACCAATCCCGAGCAATCTGGGAACCTAATCCACCAGGGGCCCAGCATGGGTTTCCGGAAATGGTCCAATCCCACGCACACACACACTCGTTCATCCTTGTAAACACAAACACGCAAATACACACACACACACACAGAAACACACACACACTCGAGTGGAGCCAGTAAAGTGGATAATGTTGGTGAACTGACTGCGGCCAAGTCCTCTTTGAAACAACGTTCTGCTTGAATTTGTGGTCCTGTCAGCTCAGTCAGTCACACACTCATTGAGTTGACTGCCCCACCCTTTTCGGACCACAGCCCCTACGATTTTGTGGGTACTTGTGGGTTAGGGTGATCCTATCACAGTGAACCCTTAAATATTTGTATTTATCTAAGTTATTTTAATTAAATATTCGATTTAACATTCACTTAAAAAAGTTAGGGACTTTTAATCCTTTGAAAAATGAGATTTGAAAACTAGAATTTATCTTTGTTTAACAACAGCAAAAGCGGAGCAGACTAAAGTAATTTCAAGATAATTTATTTAAGGAATGAATAGCTATTCTCAACTTTTAATGTCTTGTGTGTTTTTGTAAGCTGAATGGGAGAACAAAAGCTTAACAAATTTTAATCTTATTTATAATTAAATTAGTAGAAGTAATTCTACGTTTCTGATGTCTGTTTATATTCTATATTATTCAATATTATATAGATTACAGAAATTTGACTGAAAGTTGAGCAACACTGCGGATGAAGGATATGGCTTAAAAATAACAAGAAGTCTTGTCGATAATAATTTTTTTTAAATATATACAATTGGCTGTAAAGCCGCTTAATAAATTAGTTTTAAAAATAATAAATAGCTTAAAACTTAAACTAATTTTTGTTGTAAAAATGTGATTTTTAACGTGGCAAAAGTTCAATTCATTGTAAGCAAACAATGAAAGCAGAAAAGGCAACACTGCGTATGAGTTATAAAAGCCTTAAACACGGCTATGGCGAACAAATAAAAGCATTTAGGTAGTAACCACGCGAATATTCCAGTCAAGGCAGGACCACCCTGGTGTGCATACGTCACCCAGGACTGCTGATGTCAGAATTAATCCACTGTGAATGCATGTGATGTTTATGAGCCTAGTTCCATTGCCAGAGTCTGAAATATCCAGATGAATGTGAGTTTCTGTGTGCGCAGGAAGCGCCAACAAATGGTTTGATTGCAAATTGTTGTCGCTGGCAATGTCAACAACAATGACACACTGGGGACAAGTTGGGTTTGCCATGATGCCGAAGGATCAACCGCAATGGGCTCAGGAATTCGACCTTGGGGACTCTGCAGAAAGTGCATGTGCACTAACCATACGGAATGCCCAGCCCCCATTTCCCCCTTTCCATTTCCTTTTCGGAAAAACGGACCATCATGCAACGCGAAATTAATGCTAGTTACTGCTGCTGAATGCGGCGGAAATGCGACGACTTTCCTGCATTCCTATACATATTTAATGGCAAAGGCACTGCAGTCGCCTCGGGCGAATATATGCGATTTCCGCATTGCCGCTCCAAAGTTTCCACTCCAGACTTTTGCGAGGGGGATTTAAAGTGGGTCCGGAGCTCGTTGAACCCAACAACCCATTGACCCATAAAATTATGCTACGCTCTCGCACCTCCGGCTACTTAAATGCGAATTCCATTTCAGCTGCAATTGCTAAATTTAATCCGCCTATAAATTTCAAATTCAAATTGCACTTCTCTTTTGAGGGATTATATTTTATTTAAAGCGCCTGCTATTCATAAAATAAAGTAGCCTGTGTTATTAGCTCCACATGATACTGTCGCACCAAATTGAACAGAATAGGAAATTATGTTTTGTGCTTTGGTAAATAAGCCGTATAATAAACAAAGGCTTTGTGTCCAAGCAATTTAAATGTATCCCTTTAATTTGACATTAATATGGTAGATAATTAACGAACAAATAGTATAACAATACAACTGAAAAGTATGTGGTTGTGTAAGTAGAAATATTCAATATTGTAAGCCTAGTCAGGGTGTATAACCACTTAATTATGTGAAATTTATATATTTTCCTGAGAGAGACCAACGAAAAACTGTCATCGTGGCAATACAAACCTCAGAAACCAAACCAAAAACACTGAAAAACTTTATCCTGCTAAATAGTCACACATCCGAGCATGTGTGTATCGTCATTAGCATTCCATTGTGAAACTCTCTACATTGCGTGGTTGACTTTTCCTATCGATTTTGGCTCATGCCCCACACATGGTACCGAAAAAAGTTTTCTTTTTTCCTACGGCTACGTGTTTTTGTTTTGTGTTTTGTGTTAGCCAGCTAAGGGGAAAAAGTTCCACAATTGTCCATGAAAATAAAATACAGAACGTGGGGAGTGGAAAAATCTAAACAACATCCAAACATTTACCATTCATAATGAAGTCAAGACAAAGGCTTGGTTTGTTGTTGGTCTTCCCATTGCTGATTGTTGGCAAAGTTAACCGATGTACAGAATCCAATTAATGGTCGTGTATATTCAACACATCCGTAATTAGACCATTTAATTTGCTAACGAGTGCCTTTAATTTATGCAAAGTTTCTTTGGACACCAATAAGATCCTCAGATTAGAATTAGGACGTGAAAAGGTTTGGGTATTTGAAATCCTTTTTACTCGGAAAATACAAACGTTTTGACAGCATTCCTTTTAACATTTGCCTTGTGTTGACAAAAGAAAATGAATAAATTAAGCTTGGATTCATTTGACCAACTTAATTAAAGATTTTTATCAAGAGCGAATTGCATAGCTGATTTTCTTGACATCAAAACAAACATTTTGAAGAAATCACATTTGTCTAAAGTACTTAGACTCATCTTCCATAACATTTTTTCCCCAATTTCATTGGCTTATCGTGCTGAGAAAATAAATTAATCCAAAACGAAGAACGGATGAATTAATTTTGATTTATTACACGAGTTCACGGGAATTCGCATTAAGCATTCGGATTAAATTAGTATCTTGCTGTTTTAGCTGTTTACGTTTTGTTATTTCTCCAGTTTTTGCGTCAACAATAAAAGTAATTGTTGTTCAGCCGCGGGAGTGAGAATTTGTTCACGCTTAATGTGTTTTGTGTGTGTGACCATCCTTGGGATTTTCATTTTTATATCGTGCTTCCGGCTGCATTTGCTGTTTATCGCTTTTGTTTCCTTGTTTCCGGTTTTTGGGGGCGGGGGAAAATGGGTCGAAATCGAGGGACCCAACAACAATGGCTTCCATATCCCGACACAAAGTCTGCCCTCGAATCTGAATCGGATCCCCTCCATCGAGCTGTTATGTGTTTTTCTCGCTTTTACTTCCTCGACAATGTTTTGCTCTTGAAAAGGTCAAAGTTTATCCAGTTATAGGGATTTGAATTGCTCGTATAACGCATGGAAAAATTACTTTGAACTAGCAGAAAAGTTTTTTTTCCCAGTTTGTTGACTCGTAAATCTCAGCCTCAAAAGTTGGGAGCAGTGCAATTTAATTTAATTTCATGGGATTCCCACTCCACTTTGGCGTTATATCGTTGCACCCACCAGGTGGCATCAGTAATTTGTTTGGATCTCTGTGGCCGGATTTCCATTCAATTTTGCCGCATTCCACACACACACAATCCAACCAAACAACCAAAAGAGAGAATCAGAATGCAATTTTCCGTGTTTTGTTTACGGTCCACCGCATGATATATTGGGTGAATGTGAAAACCCAATTAGGTTTTGAAGCCTTGGGACATTCAATTGTGCACACAATCTAGAAGTCATCTAATTCCTTAATTTAAGCGCTTTTATAATTGCTTTGTTACGTTTATTTAATCATTAAGTCGTGGCTAAGAAAATAAATAACAGCGTTTAATTATGTGCTAATTTGAAATGTTCATCAGCAGATTAAATAAGTAAACTTACCTGTGATTTAAGCATTTGTATACCATATTGATACATATACGTACGTTTATATATGTTTTATGTAAAAGTATACATACGGAGGTATTTTCGTTCTGATATTTTTCGCTCGCCTGTGATTGGCCTTTATTATTTTCAGCTCGCAAAGTGTCAACGTTTATGAACGCTGTGAAATGTCCAAAAGTATTTTAGAATTCATCCGACGGCAGATCATAAAAACATTTGACGATTTGATGACAGCGCAGTCACCCTTTTAGACGAATATAGCAAATTTTAGTCTAGGAGAATAGGAAAAAAACTCATAAAATTTTAAAGCAATGTTCAGCCTTCAAAATAAACTTTTTTTAGATTACCAAGTTCATTGTCAAGAAGATCAACACACTTTAAGTAAAATAATTGTAAAAAATATTAAAGTTCAGAATCTGTAAAGAATATTAAATGTTGTTTTACATTTATGCAGAAATTAATGATTTGGAAATTATTTAGATACTTGAAATCTATTTTGAGTTTAGAAATTTTAAGTAGGCAAACCCCCTTATAAGCTAAATAAATATTCCCACTTGCCAAAAGAAACATGTTTGCATTTCATTTATTGATTTAAAATTTGATCTTATTTTGTTTACAATAAAAGCAATTCCAAGTCGTTTAAATTCTTTTGGCCTTACACATTTTTGATTCTGCTATTACATTTCCAGAAAGGCATTTTAAAAATCAATTGGAGCACCAATTAAACGCTAAAAGCAATGAAACTGCAAAAAAGCTAAAATGGATAAATAAAAATGAATTTAATATAAGTTTTAATATCATATCCAATTTCATTTTTAATAAAAACCTGTGTGTAAACAGAGTGTCTTTGATGTGGTCTGTGATATTTTGTCCTTCGAATTGCAGAGTCTGTTTGAACTGGAGCTGGCTGGCTGCAACGAGGTGACCGAGGCGGGATTGTGGGCGTGTCTGACGCCCCGAATCGTGTCCCTATCCTTGGCGGACTGCATCAACATCGCGGACGAGGCGGTGGGGGCGGTGGCCCAGCTGCTGCCCTCCCTCTACGAGTTCTCGCTGCAGGCAAGTGCAGATTGATGGGGCATCCGCCACCCATCTACCACCTACCACCTCCCAATCTCGATTTAATTGAATCTCCTCCCGCTCCCAACAGGCTTACCATGTCACGGATGCGGCGCTCGGCTATTTCTCGCCCAAACAGAGCCACAGCCTCAGCATCCTGCGACTGCAGTCGTGCTGGGAACTAACCAACCATGGCATCGTTAATATCGGTAAGCGACACTTTGCCCCTGCCAATTAATCAAATAACATGTGGAACGAATATCAGGGGGCGGATCCAATTTGTCCCTCAAACTGCACAGAGAAAAAATGAACAATAATCGGATTATTATTTATTTGATGGCCCAAAACATTGGGCTTCAATACCTTTTATTAGTTCAGGCTACTAAATTATATACAACAATTTTCACTAAATATTTGGTTCAAATACCATTCACCCAAAAATAAAAAAATAGTCATAGAAACGAAACTATTGTTACATGAATTCTACATTATTCAGTATTGAAAATGTTTCAATAAGAGTATTAAATAAATAATAAATTTATTATTTTTGTGCCAAAAAATGTTAACGATAGAATCAAAGTAGGAGATTTGAGAACATTTAACACGAAGAGATAGATAGTTATTGGCTTAAATTAAAATGCAACAACTGATAAAACATAATAAGTTAAAATTAATTAATTTTTTTAATATTTCATTTTATTAATGATATAAACAATGAACAGAAACTATTTGCTGTGTGTGTGAAAAATGAAATAGCATTCGTTTCGCCCCACAATCAGAATGGTTGAGCGATGCTTTCAACCATTTCCATCTGTTGTAATGTTTAATTCAGAAAGGTGGATAGCTGAATGGACTCGTGTAATGATGTCCCTCGCATCCGTCCTGATAGTGATCCAAAAAAACTGTACAGGATATCCGCCGGGAGTGTGCCAATGGGAGAGCGAGTTGTAAAAGAAATGCGAACATAACATTGCAAATGAAATGCCCGTGTAGGGACTAAGGGAGTAGCCCTATTCCTCATGGGTTTGTCCTGCTTCCGAAAACTGGGGTCTTTGGGCCCTCGTCATCATGTCTAAACATTGCACTCAACTAATTGAATCTTTTTGTGGGACACTTTTTGTGCGATGCTGTTTCCTGGCCCAGAGAGTAAGCAGCTATTTTTACATCCTTTGACGTCACAGCGCTAAAGAACCCTTTTCACTCGCAAATTGGCAGGGTCCAGCCCCAAAGAAGTCCACTTTTTGTCCACCGCTAGTGCAACTGGCAATAGGAAATAAATATAAAGCAAAAAATACTTGTATAAGGAAAAAAAAGTTTTATTTTACGGTCGCGGAGAAAAAGGAAATCTAAATAAAAATGTCCCTGAACACAGGTGGGGGAAAAATTCTAAATAAATAGGTTTATGGTAAACGGAAATCCAATAAATAATAAAAACAATATAGCGCAGACTGTGCAGGAATTATTAAAGTTGATGCAGAGATGGGATTTGCATTGAAATGTTTTAAAAAATATGATAACAAAGTTTATTTTTGGTTAAAAAAACACCTTTATAAATACCCTTGCCAGTTATTGCAACCTTTAGTGTTATTGATAAATGTAAAAAAATTGGTAATATGTTTATCTTGTTTTTAAAACTAATGAATTAATTGTTTTACAAATTCATTGCATTTTATTAATCAGCAAGAAACAAGCAAACTTCGGCAATCTGAAGTTGTTATACCCTTGCAGCTGTTACAAAAATTAAATACTCTATATTTCGCGACCGATGCTTAAAAACAAATAAGCTTGGTCGATTTTCCGATTAATTTTAATGGGCTTATAAGTGCAGTTTATTGACACTTTTCTTCAAAGTCATTTTTCAAAAATTTGGAAAGGGATTAGCTCAAAAAAATGACTTAAAATCGACCCAAAAATACAAACCCAAATGAGTATACAGATTTTTAGAGAATGAAACCACAATCATTTAGAAATATGCTATATTGAAATCGGATGTCTGTAAGAAAAGTTATGAGGTTAGATGTGCAGGTTTTTGGTCACTTTTCAGCAAAGCCATTTTTTGAAAATTTGGAAAGGGGTTAGCTCATATAAATGACAAAAAACCGACTATAAAATATATAGCAAGAATCATTTTGAAGTATGTCACTTTGAAATTGGATTTATGTAAGAAAAGTTATAGGTTTAGAAGTAAAGTGCCTGGACACCTTTCTGAAAATTAAAATACCCTATGCAAGAGTACAAATTTTAATATTTTTGAAAATATTAATGACTGAAGTATTTTAATGTTTTACAAAAATTATACTAATAAATAAGGATTTATGGCAACCATTAATTCTTATTGCGAGCAATATTTGAACATATTATATTTGATGAAACGAGTTTTTCAAAGCTCAAAGCGACCACAGCTTGTTCTTTTTCTTGGAAAACATTCTGCGGATAAACTTGGCCATAAACCACTTTAATTGACGGCCACATTGCCCTGCAGCTGAGCAGTTTTAAGGTGTGCTTCGGGGCTTTTTCAGGCGTCTGAACGTAAACTCATTTAATATGCGATCGACAGGGATGGCAAAACATAAACCCAGCCCACTCGAGGGTTAAGGGTCGGAGGTCGAGGGGCAGGCAGTTTTCGCTTTGCCTATGCACGCTGCTTTGACCTTTGACGACGCCCACCTGAGTCCTGAGTTCCAGGAGGTGCCTCTTCAGTTGGGCTGTTCAGAGTTTGGGGTGAAAACTTTGCAATCAATTTCATGGCACGTCATTTTCCCCTCCAACCCCCCTTCATCCCTCTCCGCAATCAACAAAGGCTGAGGGCTGCTTTTCCCCTATCCTCGGCATACATTGCGCCACAAATTAAGCTGCAGGTTGCTGCAGGCGCCCAGGTAGAAGACTTTCCTCGACAGGATTTCCCGGCACACACCCTCCGCTTTTCCTTTGCATTTTCCCACTCCTACGGCTTCCTCAGTTAACCAGCCAGATTTCTGGCTGCAGAGATGCGCATCGAAATCGAATTATTGCAGTTCACTGATCATCGACGCGGCTGCAGTCACAGGTTTTTCTTGAAAATTGTGGTGGGAGGCACTATGACACTGATTTTCCCAGATACATCTAGAAATAAACTCGTGCTGAATATAGAATAAATTATAAAAATAGAGTATCCCTTAGCTAAAGAAAATATTCATTTAAGTTGGGCTTTAAACCGATAAATCAAAACTTTTTTCTTAATTTCCTCTAAGCAGACTCATCTATCATTAATTTCTTTTTTTGCAAAATAAGCTGAAAATAAACATCATAACTATGAGTTTTAAAGCTTAGGGAGAAAGGGATATTTATAAAATATTTAAACACATATAAACACACACTGTGTTAAGCATATTTTGTGGGTCTGCAAACAGCTTGATGGATGAAGGAGCATCAAAAGCCCGAAAAGCCAGTATCATAAGTATAAAAAGCACATTACACATCCGCCCCGTATAACAAAGATTGGCTTCGCTCTGTCTGCGTGTCTGTGTTTTTGTTTGTGTTAGTACTTGTGTTTGTATTTGTGTAGGGCGGTGGACGGTGGGCGGGGCTTACGATTCGTGAGGACATAAGCAAATAGGCGCCATATTTAATGGCGGCATTTTGTTTAAATTGCAGCCCAATCATAAACTGTTTGCCCAGCAAGCATAAACAAGTCAACAAAAAATGCGAATTAAGTAAAGGCACGAATAAATTTAAGCTTCCATTTATATTTATTTTACGATTTAATTTAAGTGACCGCATTCCGGAAATACATATTTAATTAATGGTCATTCAAAGGCCTCGAAAACCCTTAACACTCAATCCTCTGAGGAGATTTTAATCATTTATTTATTTCCCCCAATAAGCCAAGCACATAATTAATGCAGTCCCTTTTTATTTTTTGTACGTGAATGCACTTTTAAATTACAATTTTAATGAAAAACGGCTTCGTGTAATGACACACATTAAGTTGAATTTAACAAAAACAAGTTGATAAAAAGTAAAAATGTAAAATATTTTTAATTACAATTACTTTGCAGGTGTGGAGATTAAATGTTTGGGCTAATTCAATTATGCAATGTACCATTTAGTTACCATTTATATTGCGACGAACAATATTAGACTAGTGATTTCTCTAACTGCCTGAAACACATTTAAATAACGAATTTAAATCTGGCTTTAGGGCCTTGCTGACGCAATATGGTCTCGAAAGTTTACACTAAGTTTAAAACTGGCATTTAAAGCGCAACCTTGTACGGTTAGCGGCAACTTGCAGTCTAAACCGTTGTCAAAAGTTGGCTAAGCCCGTTCACAGTTCGCAGTTTACAGTTTTCAGTTGCCTGGCGTTGAACTTTTGCCCCGGCGGTGGCAAAACTTTTAATAACAACTCCCAGTCCGTTTCCGATTCCGCTGCCCGCCGGCCATGAAAACTGCTGTCACAGGGGCAACGGCGGTGGCAGTGTACCAGTGGGTGCTTATCACAACATCGAGAAGCCATTTAGCTAATTGCATTTGGCATCTAATTGAATTGGGCCAGGCTCCAGGTTCGGAGTGATGGCTCCGCTCACAGGAGACAGCGAAGGCTCTGGCTGGCACTCGGCCAGCCACATTTTTATGGCCCATGTCAACTCAACACTGGCGAAAATTACTTATAACTTTTACATAGGTAGTCTGCATAAAAGAAAATTAGTCCCTATCTTGATAGTTCTACCAGGAAATGGAAATTTGTACATACCTTTTACTACGATAATAGATTTGCTAAAGTAATATCATCTATTTTGAGATGAATTTGTTTTGGTATTTTAAATTCCAATTACTGTCTTTGGTAAAAATTTCTAAAAAAGTAAAATAAATATTTGTAGTATGCTCTAAGCAACAG